CTAATCATGTTTTTGGTGTACTATTCCTTTAACCTGCTTATAATCTGTCAGAAAAAAAGGCTAAAACTTTTTCACCACTTACAAAAACAGGAATTTCATTAAAAACATTTTGACAATGATTATTCTAGCATCTAATATGAGCTTATTATATTTGTTTGGATCTATAAAGAGCAGAACTAAGAAATATTTGACATAAATAGTTAAAATCTTCCCAATTTTGCATGCATGTATTTGTAGTTTAAGTCTATGAATCAAAATCCTTATGACTAGTAATTTTCAATTGATTAAATTGATCTAGAAGCTTTTTTGTCTTAAATCCAACATTGGCCTAATGAATAACTCGTGTAAATTCTATGAAGGGCAATGTTTTACCAAATAAACTCCAAAGACTTATTCTGTACACAGTCTTCCATATTTAAATGAGCCTAAAAGCGAATGGTGCAAAGGGAACGTAGTCCTCTTTTTTTGCCCCAAAGTTAAAAAAAATTCTTTTCAATCCTGTGTGTCTAGCTCCCTTTGATCCACAGGGACACTTCATCCCATACCCAGCGTGTGTTCACATATTGCCTGCAGTGAGTTTTTGCTTTGCATGAAGAGTTTTGCACTAATGTGGTTTGAGCCCAGCAAGCTGAATGTGGATTCTCTAACAGACATAATGTTTGTGGTAAGAAACATCTGTGACGACTCAGGAATTTCTCAACAAAACAGACAATTTCACTTTCTTCTTTTCTTTCTATGCCCCTAAAAAATATAAAGAGTGAAGAAGAAAAAGTCAATATTAAAAGCAAAAATCCCTTGATGAAAGAATCCATAACAGCCATTGCAGTTTTAAAATTCACTTTGCCTTTTTTATTTTATTTTAAGATTTCCTACAGGTACTAAATCATATGACGGGTTAAAAATGTATCAACTATCATCAGCGGGTTGGGAAAAGCTTGAAGAAATGCCTTTAAATTTAAAAATCAGACGAGAACATGTATAATCTTAAGTGTGAGGTTTTTAAAGCATGATCGTAGATCAATTAAATTTGGTATTGCAAAATATTCATTTGGTCCAACAAACATCATAATTAGCTTTATTTGGTCACTATTAGCATAATTAACTTTGCTTGCTCCACCCACAGCATAAATAAATCAAGTTTACATATATAAACAGCCTGCATGTTGGGGTTTTCTAACAGAATCTTTAAAGAAAAAGAAGGGAGGAAGTGTCCAATATATTTATTTTTCTTTTGCAGCAGAATATTAGCTTGTTAGGCAGTCAGTCTGGGTGAAGAAAGGGCTTCTGGTGAAGCTTGCTTCTTTAAAACTGCACCAACCAAAAATTAAAAGACATAACAGCCTCTTAGCAAATGTGGGGTTTATAGAGATGTTAGCTGCACTTGTTGTGACTCTAGACTTCTTCAAATCCTAGATTGAGGATGATCTATTCTGCAGACCTAATTGTTTCTTGCCGTTGGGACTCGTCCTGTTTTGAATAAGAACCAAACCTAAGAAACATGGATAAACAGACTACATGATTACAGCTAAGAAGATGGTCAGCAGCTTCTTTGGAAGGTTGTTCTTTTGTTGGTGCAGAAAGTATGTTCTGTATCGAGCCTATTCAAACAGTGTCTTTGTGAATGAGTGGTTCCGGGGAAGCAGAAATGGTCCACAGTATATGGAGTTGTTGAGGATGGTAAAGGGGGTGCAGCTTGACAGAAATTCTCCAAAAGTGCACCCTCATCTCCACAGGCTTTGGTTGGTTCTTAATGCACTGCAGCCCATCTCCTGTCTTTATACAGCGTCCTTGATTAGACCAATGACAGCCATCTATGAGCCAGGACAGTTCCTGGTTGAGGACGTTTTAGATGGATGTCATTAAGGTCTGCAAAGAGGATCCTGATGTGCATCCCTGGATGGTTGAGTGAAGTGAAGGCAGGATCCATAGACTTCTTAGCCGCTCAAAGGATTTTATGAGCAGACATCAGGGAAACAAGTACTCATTTAACTCTGTGGTCATTTAGTATCACCTTAGTGTGCAGCAATTCTGGTTTTGCTCCCCCCCCCCAATTGTCTACTAGCACTGTCTGTGCAGTTTTTCCACTGTAGTTTAACATCTGCATGCTACATTGATTTTTAGTTCCTTTAATATGAATTGTTAAATAAGTGTGATTCAAATCACCAATTAAGCATAAAATGTAACGGAAGTTTACCTCTGATTCAGGGGTCTTGTGAAAAGTTAATTTTTTTGTTTAAATAGAAATAAAATGACATATAGGCACCTGTTGAACAAGGTCAGCATTTGGATGAACAGAGCTGCACAATGTCACAGTCGGCAGCACTGTTGCCTCTAAACTAGAAGGCCCTGAGTTCAATTACCCAGGAGTTAATCTACATCTTCTCCCAATGCAATCCAACTTTTGCTCGCTGTCCAAAAACATGATGATTAGGTTTATCAGTCACTCTAATTTTCCCTCCATGGTGTACCCTGCCTCTTGCCCAATAAAAATCTTCCATAGAACCAAGGGTCATCATCTGTCACATTTCAGAATAATCAAATTCTTAAAATGGAAATAAAAGTCAAGAAAAATAGTAACAGGGTTTAAAAGAAAGTTCTTAAAAGAAAAATTGTGCGTGAGATTTTACATTTTTATTATGGTTAATCTCCATAATTCCTTCAAAAACATTTTTATGCAAATGTTTAGATACGCAGGTTTGAAAATGCCATTATAATTTGAGGAAATGGAAATATTTAGGTTCAAAGCGAGGTGGTTGTATAAAAATGAATACTCCAGAAGGGCAAAAACTGAAACAACCTATCCAAGCTCCTAAAGCTGGAGAAAAGAGACCACAAAGTTAGTGAGTAAAGATAAAGAGGGTGACCATGAGAAATCTGCTTGATTTCACTTTCACTGTCAAACTTTCAAAAGCTGTTTTTGTTTTTAAAAATTGTTTTAAATCAACCTCAAAGTCATTAAGTTAGTTAACTGCTTTTAAAAAAAAATCATGTGAACAATTGCAAGATCATAAATGCATCAATAAGAATACAAAAATGTTTTATGTGCAGATTCTCACTAGGGCTGCAACTAACGATTATTTTGCAAATCGATTCATCTGTCATTTGTTTTTTTTTGAGTAATCGATTAATAATTGGATATCAAAAGGTTCCTTAAAGAAGACTTTTAAAGAAAATAAACCAGGTGAAAGTAAAACTTTTCCACTTGAGGAGTTCTGGATAGAGCAAGTCGACCGACAAAATCGTTTTCTCCTTTTCTTAACTACAAATTGTTTACATGGTTGCTTTTTTATTTACAATTTTATAATTACTGCTCAAGGTGGGTCACTGTCAGCTGAAGACACGTTTTAGTTTCTATATTCCAGTTAACGATTAACCGACTACTAAATTAGTTGATGATTATTTCAATAATCGATTCATCCGATTAAATGTTTCAGCCCTAATTCTAACAATGTTTCACTGTAAAAAAGGATCCAATCTGGTTGCTGCAGCAACAAATATGACCTTTTGACCCGAAAGAAGGACTACTACAAGTTAGTTAAGATTCAAAAACTGAAAAAGCAGAACTTTTTAAGATCCTTTGTGGAACTTTTTAAAACCAACGTCTATAACCAAGAACTTTAACAACTTAAAGGCGATTTATTCTAATATGTTTAATAGAAAACTTGACATTCTTTGGTACTCTTCCCTGTGTGTACTTTTCAATAGGACTTAAATATTTAGAAGACAAATTTTTGTAAACCTATAGCTAATCAGTAACAATATATTTATTTAAAGGGATGTTTGACTTAACTTTTCTCTTCTGTTGTACAACCACTACCCATTGTTCTAATCAGCAGTGTTGAGTCAACAGCTTTTAAAATGTCAGCATCATTCATCCACATTGTTATAAATCGGCAAATCCGACTCACACTTAATAATGTGGGTCAAACAGAAAGGTGGGACCGATTTTAGGTTCGCCCCTGCATTAACTTCTTAAGGCCTTCTTAAAAGGACAAGCTTTAGCTAACGGTAAGTTTTATAGAAATTACCTGCAACTTATTGGAATATGCATAATGAATTTCGAAAATATCCAGACTTTTCTTTTTATACTTTACAGTGCGCTCTGCAAGGTCATGAACATCATTGCTTGAAGCTAAATATCCTGAAGCTAAGATAACCGAACAAAGCAAAGGCCCGAAAATCCCCGAGCTCGATTTTAGCTTCGGCTCTCTGCCTGCGACACGCAGCGGACTGAAAGCTACGTTTATGCAGCGCGTAACATTAAAGCTTTCGACTCTCATGGACAAAAACAAGCTACACTGTGCTTTTTGCACAATAAACAGCTTAGCATATGAGGTCTGTTTTTAAAAAATGACCGATATTAGCTTTGTAACACTGCATCGCTTGCATGTAAATACTGACCGTCAGCCCGGCAGCGCTGCTGGCTGTTGTCGCCTCCCCTCCTTCGCTAGCCTCCGTAGCAGCCAGGCCGATGACGCTCACCGCCCGCACCGTCCCTCGGAGCCAGTCCCGGGCCCAGGCAGGCTGCTCAGACTCTGATCCATTGGTGGACCTGCCGTCGTCGAGAAGCAAAATCAGACGCTTCCCGATTAATTCGAGAGAGTCCCCCATGGTTTGCTTACAAAGCTAGTGCTAAGCCACCATGAACAGTTGAACTTCTCCGCTCGGGATGGGAACTCGGGGAAGCTAACGCAAAAAAAAAAAGGCGAGGAGAAACAGCTTTTGACTGTTTCGAATATCACGCTAGTGCCACAAAATGTTCGTTCGGCCGCTGTACCGGGGAGTAGTCGGCGGCAGCGGACCGCAGATCTCCCAGTCGAAACGTTTTTGTCCTCGGTATTAACGCGACTATCCTGCTCTGTCCGCCATTGAGCCCTGCAACAATCAAACGCACTCCTCCTGGTAGACAGGCAGCACTGCGGAGACGTGGAAAACACTAGGAAACACTGACCCCTAGCGGAGGATTTATGCATTACTTTCCCGCAGTGGTGATTATTTAAGCAGCTTCTCCACGGAAAACTAAATACGGAAATTTCAGTGGAAACTTTGGAGGATCAGGAGAGTCCTGAAAAAGAAAAAAAAAAAGAAAAATTCAAATTTAAAATGCAAATCATACAATTATAAATCCAATTTGAATTTTTTTCTTATTTTAAATTTCTAATTGTATAATTAAAGAGGAATTGTGAATCATATTTATTAATCCCTTTATAAACACTGCAATTTGAGAAGATATTTTAAAATCTATTTTCTAAATGCATGTTTTAAAATCCCATTTCTGGTTGGCAGTACTGAAAAGCAACTGTTTAACTGGTTTTCAGTCTGCTTAGGGACCAGAAGTGTCACGTAAAGGTAACTGGAGAGAATATAGTAAAAAGAAAGTACAACTGCAAAAAGGATTTGAAAATGCAAGCTGAAAAAGAAAATTGAAATGGAAAAAATAATTATATTTTAAAATGTGTGATAAGAGAGGTATTTTTACTCAGATTTATGAATTGTGATTTTTAGATATCCACTTAGAAGCAGGATTTTAAAGTATATTTTTTGAACGCCAGTATTGAATAATAAATTCATAAATGCAATTCCTCTTTAATAATTCAATTTTAAATGTTTACTTAAATTTGATTTGTAAATGTGTGATTTCAATGTTAAATTTGAAGTGGCTGAGGGTTTTTTTCAGTGACACCCGTGGTCCTCCATAGTCCTGGCCAATCAAGGCCAGAAGTATTTTGGAAAGCATGAATAAATTGTTGGATATTTATAAAGTGATCTATAAAGACACAGTGGAAATCTTATTTGGATGTTAATGCTTTTTAACGTATTTTCCACCTTTTAAATTGATCAAACACCCTAGGAAGGTTTATTTGATTTATTTTGCTTCCACTCTATGGATATTAGCAGAGGAAGAATCCAATGTTCAAAGCTCACTGCATCAATTTTATGATCACAAATTCTTCTCCATGACTACAAACTCCACACCCCAATAAATTTGGGGGTTTCTTTGTCCAAACATTAAGATGTGAAGCTTGTTAACTAACAGTCCAGGTGGATCTTTATCAAATCAAAAAATGAGTATGTGAGAAATCTCCTCAAGCCCACTGCTATGTATAGTAGAGGGTTCATGATGCTGAGGGGATGTTTCTCCTCAAAGGCCAAAGGGACATTTTAGGGATGTTTGGTTTCACTAGCTTTTAGAAATACCAGAACATGAGCCATTAATAGAAAATTGAAAATAGATTTAATTTGTGGGGAAATCAACAGAGAAATGATTCTCTAGATCCTCGTTTCTTCACTGAGTCTCAAGACCAAACCCAATGGAAAACCAGCAGGGTGGACTGAAGTAAAGGACCTAGGGCTTGAATAATCTGGAAGATCGTGTGAAGTGAAATTTTGGAGAGGTAAACTGTGCTTTCCTGTTGGAAAAGTGTAGCACTTGTGAGTGAATTCAAAGCATACCGTATATGTGGTAGCACGAGTTCTTTATTCAGTATATAAATAAATGTAAATTTTTCATTGTAATATTATCATTCCTTTGAAAAGTATAGTTTTTTTCAAATTAAATCTTGAATTCGTATTGTGCAGCTATTGAAACAAAAATATCAACAATTTCTTATTTCTCATGATTTTTCAGGTTTACAAAATATGAATTGCATAATATAAATTATTACAAGTAATTTTGTTTTTACTTTTTATTGATGAAGAAAATACTTCCATTAGAAGCGTTAGTATTTTTTTATGTACAAATACAGCTCCTTTTATTGCTGTTGATTCTCACCACTAGGGGGAGCTGTATCGTTTCACTAAGGTAAGTCTTTGAAAGAAGGTTTTACACATAAACAATAAAAAAAAAAGACCAAGAATACAAATAGATTATTGATTTCAAAATAGTTTATTGTGTGAAAAATGGTTTTGTGACAAAGATAAGATTTCTGAAGAGTTTCATACCTATAAAGGGTATTGTGGCAAAATAATTAAATTGAGTAAGATAATACAGATGGAGGCCTCTACTTCTGTTTCTGTTTTTTCTTTTTTTTTGTGAAGAAAAAGATGAACAAAAACAGAGCCCTGCAGCAGACCCAGAACTCGCTCCAGGGACGATGTGTAGGCTCATATATTTACTAAATTCTCTAAAGTTGGGGGATAAGCATCACCAATATTTAGTCACATTTTTCATTGCAATTATTCTGTTAAAGGAAGCAAAAGAACCACAGCTTAGTCCAAGTTTTACAGTTTAGACACATTCTATCTGTTCATTACGGGTCCAGTATAATCCATCCTGTAGAGTTCAACCAGTAATATTGACCGTCCTTACTACTGGAAAATACCTGAATAGAGGGATTTTAGCTTTGATTAGCTGTGAGCAGAGACCTTCCAATTGACAAACTAATTCTGGACTTTCATTGTTCAGTGAGAAAAACAATTACAAAAGCCATATTGGTGCAGATGCTGTTAGTGATTGAAAGAGAGTTATATCTTTGGTCCATTCATGCTGCAAGAGAAAGAGGGCAACAGCTTCAGGTGATAAGACGAAGACTAAATTCAATTCAAAATGATCTTGATTCAGAGGGGAAATTAAATACTTAGTACGGTAATTTTCTCCTGTTTTATCTTTCTGAGTATTGAGACTTTGTTTGGACTTATGAGGCATTTGGAAAAATTTGGGAAGAAGTAATATAATGCTCTAGGCTGACAGGAAAGCGGGAGAGACATGCAGGAAAGGACCACAGGCCAGATTCGAACCCATGTCGCCCACGTCGAGGACTAAGACCTCTGTATAAGGGTCATGCGAGCTGACCACTGCGCCACCTGCATGACTGGCTCTACATTTTTTATTAAATAAACCCAAAATTCTGGTGATTATCAGTAAAAAAAAAAAAAAAAAAAAAACTTACCATGCTAATGGTTAATATTAAATGCTAAAGCCAGTTTAAAAATGTTAACTCCATAATCACATAACTCTAATTTTAAAACAAATAGGGAAATCTTGTTTTATGTTGATTTTTTTCACTTATGACATCACCTCTTATCCTTATATAAATAAATACTAACCACTAACAGTGGAAAGCCTTGCAAAAACATTTTTTTCAATGTTGCTATGCTGTCTGTTCTTTAATTAGCTTTTTTTTAATTGAGAAATGAAAGTGTAAGCATAGGTCAGAAGTTCACCAGGAAACCCTGATTGTATAACATCTGCTAATTATCTGATTTAGTGAGCGAAAACTTTAGAAATATTTGCAAAATTGTTTTTTTTTTAAAGCATTTATTTCACAAAATTTAAAACAGAGTTTTGTTTCAAAACAAATTAAGCCACATGTATTTGATTTTTAAAAATGTATATTTGTTGGAGGTGATTTACAAGTGGCAGCATGAAGGTTTTATTTACATTTTATAAAATGGCTCAACTTTGGGTGAAATTTGTGCAACAATTGTAAAAATCAAGTTAGACTGATTAACATTTCAACTGTTCGATATTCATCCATCTGCTTTTCCAAAAGACTCCATTTCGTTTGTTAGTTCTGCTTATATACAGAAATGTATTTTAGTGGCAATACACAGTGAGTTCTTATTGTTTCACCTTAAAAAAAAATCCTCAACATGATAAAACGTTTTTCCCCGTCCAGCAGTGATAGCATGAAGTCCAAGTGTTTTATGCTCTTGCTCTGACAGTTACTGGCGTTTCTTCATACAGCTGTGGGGCACGCATTCAGCCTGCTCCTCCAGCTCAGGGCACGGGCTGCCAGCGTTCGCTGGCCGCAGAAGGATGTAACGTGTGCGGTGACGGACTCCGCCTCTGGAGCAGGGACCGAGACAGAGACCCCAAGATGACCAGAGAGAAACTTCACAGTCCAAAGGTGTTGCTGGTTATAACAAAGAGACATCAAAATAAATAAATTTAAAAAAACAGCACTTAAGCAACAAACCAGTACAACCTAGCACGAACTTACGAAATGGGAAAAAGCATAATATATTCATGTTATTTTTACAAAAAAATGCTGAATATGTTCCAGTGTGTTTTCACTTAATACTCAGAAAATATTAATATTTAGAGGGAAAACCATGTATTTTCTAAATTGTCATTTGTTCTGCGTGAACTGACACAAGCTTCTCCTTCAGTGGAGGGAGAGCATTTTTTGCACATCAGTTTCTGTTTTTGCCACAGCTCTGGACATTAATTCGGTCATTCAGACGTATGAATATGCTTTTGTGTAACCTGTTTTGTGGTAATTAGACCTGATTGTTTTGGGTCATTGTCCAACTGGAAGGCGAACCTCTATGAAACTCTAAGAAGTTTCCTTCTTGCCTTGCGTTCTACTCCATTTTCTCATCAAGTATGACCAGCCTTCATCCTCCTGTATAGAAAAATATCCCCACTGCATGATGGTGCCGAGAATTCATCTGGGAGACAAGGACTCTTCTCTTTCTTCTTTGACTCAGAAAAAAACGTTTGGCCTTCTTGCTCCTGCACATTAGAGACTGACATATTTTCGGGAATCCCACGGGTCACGGGATTCCCGTGGGATTCCCGTGGGATGGGAGTCAGTATTAGTAACGATCACATGATTGGGACGGTACAGGATTAAACATTAATGGGAGCAGACGGGTGCAGGAGCAAACCAATAGTAACTAAAAAAAAACTAGGATCGATGCCAAAAAATAAAATTAAATAGAAAGAAAAAAAATCCACTACTGGCGCCGCCATTTTGTAGTTTTTTTCCTTGAAGCCTATAATATAATGCGAGTCAAAAAAACGACACGACCCAAAAACCAACAGTGCTGCCGCTCTGAGTTTTTCACCCGCGCTCAAAAACAACAAGAATGGGAGTGGTGCAGGAGCGGGAGTCATTCTTAATGGGAACGGGATGGGAGTGGGAGTAATTTCACCAGGAGTGGGATGGGACAGGATTTAGATTTCCACTCTGGCCCGGGATTGGGACGGGACACAATTTTTTTCTGTGGGAGTGGGACGGGACAGGAGTGAAAATCCACTCCCGTGTCAGTCTCTACTGCAAATAAAGCACCATTATATCTGTTAATAATCAGACCCATCCTGCCATTAATTACAAACAGGACCCCAACATACCTAAACTTCTCAACTTGATGCAGAGACTATTCCTGTACCCAAGAGGAAGCAGTTTAGCAGCTGAATTGCATCGCACCAACTTCACCTTCAACTGCAATCTGACAATGTGCATTCTGGACATCATGGGATGAGGAACAAATGCATCATCTGTTTGAAGTAGACCATAAGATTCTCAAGCCAGACACACTACATCACTTGATTATGAAACAGAATTGGTGAAAAGATGCAGAGTCCAACCCACACTAGGAACAAGTTTAACTTTATGCCAAGATTGCGAGCACAGCTCTTGCCCCAGGCATACTCGGCTTGGATAACCCTTAAAGCCATCCGTATATCCCCAAACTCGCTTCCCACAAAATACTTTGTGGTAAACCAGATCCAAAAAAAACACATGTAGATCGGATGAAGCAAACAACCATGATGGTCTCAGCATTTCTTGTTGGGTAAACATCTGGTCCAATATTCCACAGCCAGGGCAGAAGCCACATTGCTCATCCTGAATGTGAGGTTCAACAATCGGTTGGAGCTTCCAGTACACTTTAGTGTTCTTTTTCTTGGAGGCTGATGAGTGAGATGGAGTTCAATATCCGAAGCCCTTTATTAAAAGTCAGGACACCAATACTGCATGCAGTACCGGTGCCACTTCAATGGTTCTGCAGCACAGAGGAGGTATGTCAGTCCTGATAGCCCCACAGCTGACGCCCTGCCAATGGGGATCTATTTAACTACCTTGGAGGCCTCCATTAAGGTGATAGAAGGTTCAGGTTCTTCCTTCTCTTCCACAGAGGTCACGATGATTGGATTAAGGAGTTCATGTACTCCTTCCACCTCTCAACCATAACCTCAGTCTGGGTTCACTGGTACCTTTTCCACACACAGCCTGGGATGATCCCACTTATCTGCTACAACAGTTGTTGCAGTCTGTCTGGTCAATCTGTACATAATCAGCCGCTTTGACTGTCCCTAAAGACAACTGAGCCTTTAGTCCATTTGCTTTAGCCATACAGCTTCAGTCACCAATAGTGACCCCAGTGAGTCCTCTGGCTACCCACACAATGAGCACCAATAATTTTAAGGCCACAGCTCCTGAAAGCCAAAGCCGCAATGGAGTTTCTGCTGCATTTTTACTGCATATCCCTAATCTCTCATGGTACATGAGAAAATTCCCTGGGAGGTGTAGTTTTTAACATTCCCAGCTGTCCCTCGATACCTTTTGAGGTTTACCAAGTCTGTCTGGCAGCCTCCTTTGCCACAGGATTAGACTCACTACCAGGTGGTGATGAGGTCATAGATCTGCCTCTCTCTTCACCTTAGATATAATGATGCAGGTCTGATAATACAGTTACAAAAAGGATAATCAAACTTTGCTCATGATGCTTGAATGTCAAGAACGTTGGGTAATCTGAGCGGTTTGTTGCAGAAGGTAAGATCAACCTGAAGCCGCAAAGAAATTAAACTCATGTTAGACGGGAAGAATTCTGGTTTTGTAATCCAAGTAACGTCTTCCTATGGGCAACGACTTTAAGGTACAAGCTAAACTGCTCATAATTTGTTCTTTATGGTACGCCAGCATTTATAACATGTAGGCGAATCACTGTCCCCCAGACATCCGAGGTTATATTTTTTATACTTTTTTTTTTTTTTAAACAAAGCTGAGTGTGTATGATGTCATCCACGCGCTGGACTGGAGTTGTGACAGGCAGCCCGGGCCACAGGCGGCTACGCTCTACCCCTTCTATTCATTCGGCTAGCTAATCTGAATCGTTTAATTGTTTTTCCAGAGCGAGATCATCTGTAGTAGTAGCACTAGACATCTTCCAGGCATGTGAGTAAAACTAAAAGCAGTTCAGTGGACAGGATGAATGAACGGTAGCCGGCACGCGCGGATGACGTCATACACACTCCGCTTTGTTTAAAAAAAAATATAAATATAGAAAATATAACCGCAGATGTCTGGGGGACAGTGATTCCCCTACATGTTATGAATGCTGGCGTAGCATAAAGAATACATTATGAATAGTTTAGTTTGTGTCTTCAAGTTGTTGCCCATAGGAAGGCATTACTTGAATTACAAGGTCGGCTTTCTATCACCTGAAGAACATTTCCAGGATTAAAGGACTAATGTCTCAGCATGATCTGGAAAAACTAATCCATGCGTTTAATTTTAGTCGAATTGATTACTGCAACGGTGTTTTCACAGGTCTGCCTAAAAAGTGGATCAGACAGCTGCAGCTGATCCAGAACGCTGCTGCCCGTGTCCTCACTAAGACTAAGAAAGTAGAGCACATCACCCCGGTTCTAAAGTCCTTCCACTGGCTCCCTGTATCTCAGAGAATAGACTTTAAAACACTTCTGTTAGTCTATAAATCTCTGAATGGCTTAGCACCTAAATACATCACAGACTTGCTATCAGTGTATCAACCCTTCAGACCACTCAGGTCTTCGGCTCTGCATACCTAGAACCAGAACTAAACATGGAGAAGCAGCATTTAGTTCCTATGCTCCACTTATCTGGAACAAACTTCCAGATAACTGTAAAAGTGAGGCGAGCCTGAGTTCCTTTAAATCCAGACTAAAAACACCTTTGTTTAGGATTGCCTTCGACTTTTCCAGCTAAAAAGTTCAACTGAAACATCATTAGTTCAACTTTTTTATTTTCTTTAGTCCAACTGTTTTTAATGTTCTTTTTTGTTTCTGCATTTTTTATTTTCTTTTTTTTTTTCCTACTTGCTTTGATTCTGTTTTATTTTCCTATATTTTAATCATGTAAAGCACTTTGCATTGTCTTTGTACTGAATTGTGCTATACAAATAAATTTGCCTTGCCTGCCTTGGTAGTTTTGGAGTCCAGTCCCCTTCTTAAGCAGTTAGACTCTGGAGACCCAGCTATGTTTATGTAAGTCCAATAATATCAGGCTGGTGTGGCTCAGCTTCAAACACCAGTTCGCACCTCTTACTCACCAGTAAAGTTTTGTAAATACTTTTGGACAGTAAAGTATCACGATAGTTTTGTGTTATTACCTGAGAAGCGCTGAGGACTGATGGAATTTGGCAGAATGTGGTTCGAGATGGAAGTCTGGCGGTCAAGTGATCGACGCTGCCGGGTAATCCTTATGCTGGCAATAGGTGGAAGCTCCTTTAGTCGAGGGTAGTAGAAGGAGTTGGCTGGATGGTTCGGCATTTGTGACGTGATCTGAAAAGCATTTAAGCATCGGTTCATCAGAAAGAGGAACAGATTCTTAGTAGATTCTCAGTAAATATTAGCCAACCCTAAAACACATGCTGCAAAAGGATGGATGATGTGTTGCATAAGAGTTCCCTTTTCATTTAAATCACTTCAGGTCAGACATGAGGGCTGCCAAGTAATCATTTAGCCAGAGACAGCTAAGAATGATGCCCCATTCCCACTCAGCTTACTTTTTCTAAGAACAGGACCGATGAACCAGAGTTTGAGGTTTGAGGCACCAACAGCTAAGTGAAGGACATAAACAGATGACGGCTTCCTGTGAGCCTCATACCTGCGTAATGTTTTCTGGGGGGCTAGTTGGAAAGTTGGGAGAGGAAAAAGTGAATCCGCTGTCCGTCCCTGCATCAAAAGGATGGAGGTCAACAGTCACTTCCTGTTTCCACTGGTTCCCCTCACAAAGATTCAGGCTGTCCAACCCAACAAACCAGTCTGGGCTGGGGATAATCTTCACCATCAAAGATAGCTGTAGGACAAAGAGGGACAAAGTTTTAGACTTCAGTGTGTGACATGGAGACATTATTTAAACATCATCACACACAGGCTGTTCAAGAAAAAAAAATGTATACATTTTTGTGTTTTTACTATGTGGAAAAGCACAAACAAATAGAACATTAGAGACAGTAGTAGAAACAAACAATTACAGATCCATGTAAGAATAATCATACCCAATAAAAAAAAAAAAAAAGGAGATTCACCTTCCAGCAGGAAAATAAACCTGAACTCAGAAAATACATCAAAGCATATTTGTGTGTTAAATGTAAAGGAGAGTTATTGTCAAGTCTTGACACCGAGTTTAACATCCATCGTCTCAGTCTGAGATTAAGCAATTCTGCAGGGAAAGAATGAGCAAAAATGTCAGCCTCTAGAAGTGAAAAGCTGGTAAAGATATACCAGACGTCCAGCAGTGGGAGGTTTTACCAAATAGTCATACTGGAGAGTTGAAGACAAACATACACTATTTTTCAGATTTTTATTTGACGAGTAAAATGAAAAAATAAAGCAAGAGAAGGAACATTTTGTCCATTTTGTACAGCTGTTATACAATATATCTTTTTAGATAATGCAGCATGATTTTTTTTTTTTTTGTAATGTGACAAGATTTGAAAATGCTTAAGGTTTAAAATTTTGTTTTGCAAAGCACTATACCAGGAACCAAATGTTTATCAGAACGATTGTTACGGCTACTCTTGCATCAAAATAGTTTCCCAAAAAAATCAAAAATTGCCAGAGTATTCTTAGGAGGTTTTTCGACTCACAAAACAAAAAGCACTCATGGAAAATGT